TGTCGATGGGATTTACTAAAAAACACGTGAAAAGCTTAACTTTAACAGCTTAAGTTAAACAAGGTGAGAAAGTCGTATCAATGCTATTAGACCTCTAAAACAAGGCCTAAAAAACATTAACCGCATTAAGTGCCTTTAAGATAACACCAGAGACACGAAAACAAAAATGGGTGCTGAATAAATAATTTAAAGTCTTAAAACATTTAAATTTTTGTGTTCAATTTTAACTTGGCATGATTTATTATAAACAGTTGATATACTGAGTAAAATGCTTGAAAATTTTAAATTTAACATCTCGGAATATATTGAACACTTAGATAATTTAAAAAAATATATAGTTTTCCAAAGACCTGACGATAATTTTAAAATATTTGTCGGTTCAGCAAATTTATGCCAATGCACTACTTTTATCAATTAAAAACAAATGTGAACAGGGTGAGTCAAAACTAAAATACATAATTTTCTCAGTTTTTTCAAATTGACCACCCTGTATTTTATATCACCATTTAAAATTACCTTAATTAAAGTTTCATTTGAGTTATGCATTCCCTATACCTAAAGTTAATGATTTTGAGAGATTTTTAAATTTAAATGAGAAAAAAGATAATTTACAAAATAGTCTAATTTTATCTGATCACTGGTGATAGAAAATAGACTGTTAATTGGTAATTAGAAGTTAAACAACTGGTTATTGCTATCGAATAAATCGTAGAATTTTGAACTTATTTTTATTTTAAAATATGAATGACACAGATAAATTATTAATTCATGGTATTAAAAAATCTATGACAACTAAAAAATATAGGGTGATTCTTAACGTGCCTTGAGAGATCAGCTTTCAACTGGTAATGGACATATCTTTGACACCGGTCTAGTTATACTTCCATTGCTGGTTCTGATGGTGACAACTCTCTTAATACCATTTAATCCCGACTTGAACTCTAAAACTCGGCCTAACTGCCACTTTGTTGCTGGTAGATGATCCTCTTTTATTACGATTAGCTGACCTTGCTTAAGAGCTTCTTGAGATTCTTTCCATTTTGACCTTATTTGTAACTCGCTGATATACTCTTTACTCCAACGCTCCCAGAAGTGCTGTTGCATTTGTTGGATATGGTTGTATAAAGACAATCGATATTGAGCTGATTTTTTAGAGCTACGTCAGGAACCATGTGCAATTAAATGCAAATTGCACATTGCAATCAAGTCGTTTGGGTCAGTAGATAGCGAAAAAAGAGGGCGAGAATTAAGTACAGCTTCGATTTGTAGGAGTAAAGTTTGCATGTTCTCGTAGGTTAATAAAGTGTTTCCGATAATTCTCTTAAGGTGGCGTTTAATACTTTTAATACCTGCCTTCCAAAGCCCCCCAAAATTCGGAGCGTTTACTAGTATTAAATGAAACCGAATGTTTATATTGGCTGCAGTATCAGACATTTTCTCGACATTTTCTTTAAAAAAGGAGTAAAGTTCCCGCATCTCTCTACACGCCCGGATAAAATTAGTGCCATTATCACTATAGATATCTGACGGTATTCCTCTACGAGATGAAAATATACGTAAAGCTTCAATAAAGGACTCTGAACTCAAAGAGGTAACTAGCTTTAAATGTACTGCCTTTGTTATAAAACAAACGAAAAGACATAACCAAGCTTTGAATGATTTTGGGCCTCTTCCTTTACGATCTTTTGACAACAGGGGCCCAGAGTAATCGACACCAGAAACGGAAAATGGTTGTGCAATTTCGACCCGAATTTTCGGTAAATTACCCATTATTGGTTGCAGAGGTTTCGACTCAAATCGAGCAAAAACCACATAGTTTCTAACGACTTTTTTCGCTAATTTACGACCTCGAGATATCCAAAACTGGTCACGGCTATTAGCTAAAACTAATTGTAGACCAGCATGCAATAATTCAATATGAAAAATCAGGACATTTTTTTCATAGGGATAATCAGAATTGCATAGCCTTCCACCAACTCTAATTATACCGTTAGGATCTAGGAATGGATTTAAACTTAACATTTTACTGTCTGATTTTAAATGTTTTCCCTTTTTGAGTCTTGTTAATTCAGTTGAGTACTTTTCATTTTGTCTTAATCTTACAAGTGCTGTCATAGCAGTACTCTGTTCATTTACGGTCAAAAACTTCTCTCTTCTACAATTTTTAACAAATCTCAAGAGAAAAACCATTGTTCTTTTAATTTTAATTATATTAGAAAACCAAGAAAATGGGAATAATTCACCTACAACGATAGTTGTATGACATTTGCGAATTTCCGGTATGTTCGACATATCGAGTTTTAAATTTGGCTATTTGGCCACATTGCTCATAAGCCATAGAGGGCCATTCCACCAAAGACTACAGTCTGATAATAATTTTGGGTTAACACCTCGCGATATTAAATCTGCAGGTTTGTCAGTTGTCGGAACGTGAGGCAACTGGAAATGTTTTGTTACTTTTTGGATTTCAGCAACACGGCTGTTTACGAACGGCTTTAACAAACTTGGAGGCGTTCGCAACCAACCTAACACTACAGTAGAATCGCACCAGCATATGACTCTACTTATGTTCTTGTTTAGAGAGCTCATAACTTTGTCAAGTAGTTTTGACATTTTTAAAGCGGCCATTAATTACAATCATGGCATCGTTGTAACATACTTTTGATTTAGCTGTCAAAAGTTTGACCGTTACTTCATTTTCGAAAATTTTCGATTTTACGTAGATGCAAGCTCCGTAGGCCTTTTCAGAAGCATGGGTCGACTATGAAAGACCTAGTGCTTTACTAGTTGCTTGATTGTTGCTAGCATGGAATTCTAAAAGATCGCATGTGGCACCAATTGTTGGAAGTACCTCTAAAAGATTTTACTTCCATTTTCTTAGGTTAAAATTGGCTTTAGATAAAATACTTGAAACTTCTGAACAAATTTGTTTTGCTTGCTCAATTGTATCTGCTCCTGTCAGCAGATCATCGATGTGCATATCACGCATAATAATAGATGCAAATTCGGGTTTCGTATTTTTAAACTCGTTGGCTATTTCATGTAAGCAACGTATGGCGAGAAATGGAGCAGCCGCGTGTCCATATGTAATGGTATTTAACGTGTAACTTTGAATTTTTTGGTAAAATTTTCTGTAAGAACCTTTGTGATGGAATAAAATAGAAATGACAACGATAAATTATTATTTCACGACATTAAAAAAATCTATGACAACTAAAAAATATAGGATAATTCTTAGCACCAACTATAATTGTTATTAAGTGATATTTTGTCAGATTTTATCTAATTAGAAAAATGTATCTAAGTAGCCTTCAATAATATTTATGGTGGTTTTCAAAAGCCCAATTCACATTTCTAAGTACTTTTTAACTAACACTCGAAATAGGTACTTCACTTATTCACGACTAAAGGTCATATTAAAACACTGGCCAGAGTTTTTTAAAAATAAATATTTCAATAGTTATGAAGCTAGTAATAAGGTATTGAAGTTTCAAAGTTAACTTAAAAATATAATAAAGTTAGAATAAGGCAGGTATTATGGAATGAGTCTAGAATTGGTTGTTATTTGTATTTATATTAGTCCTAATAGGAATTGTTAAACACTTTTTCATTCGATAATAAATTACAGCTATTTAAATTATAATCACTAATTAAAAAAACAGTATATTTCCTGTTAACCAGTGGCCAGTTAAAATTAAACTATTTTGTAATTTTTTTTGTCATTTAAATTAAAAAATCTCCTAAAATTATTAATGCTTAACTCAAATGAATTTTAAAAGAGTTCTTTTAAATAGTAATATTAAAATACAGATTGGTAAATTGAAAAACTGAGAAAATGATATATTTGAGTTTTGAATCACCCTGTTTATATTTTTTCTAACAGAAAAAGTAATGCGTTGGTACAAATTTTGACTAATATCGAAAACCTTTCACCCAAAAAATATTGGTTTTAAATTGTTTCTTTTGCACTATCTAGGTCATTGAAATCAATACGATTTTCATATAAAACTGGTTGTAGCGTGTGGAATACCTTGTATATTCTCATACTATTGTTATAATGGGAAAAGCAAAGACAATTCAAATATAAAATAATATACAGGGTACCTCATTTCAAAAAACACAACTTTGATATGTACCTATCACTTTTTTGGAGAACCCTGTACAATAGAAATAATTTTTAAGTTGTTTTATTTTTTGTCATACATCTTGATGTGAATACAGATTATAAAAAAATCAAATAGTTTTGGCTTCACAGACCGAGGCGTTACCGGTGGCCCACCATGTATACAGGATGTCCCAAACCAGAATATCAATATAAAGTTATATTTTTTAAATGGGAGTAGGTATTTTCATTTAATTTTAAGTTCAACTTCTAAAAATAATCTTAGTTTAATAAAACATTTTTTTGAATATTTTAATAATTGTGATAAAAAATTACAACATTTTGTAAGGAACTGCCAAAAATTAGTTAATTAATTAGTTTATAATCAAAAGTACCTAAATCATTAATTAATTTCGACAACACTACATTTTCAAAAAATGTCAAATCGGAAATTATCAAAGAGAGGTATAGGAAATATTTATTAAACTAAGATTATTTAAACTTAAAATTAAAAGAAAATATAGGATGTCCCATTTAAAAAAATATAACTTTAAATTGGTATTCTGGTTTGGGACACCCTGTATATATAAAACTCATTTTTATTTGTGGCTGCTTTTGAGTCGAAGGAATTTCTAATACTGTTTGTAGTTTACCCACCAGGATTCATTCCGTTGAGCGTAGCGCACCCTGTATTATAATATGTATTATAAGCTAAAAACAGGTATAAAGAATTAAACTCGTTTATTTAAGATTCACAATACCCCGTTTAAAGTGTTTCTATAAACTTTTAGTAATTAAACATTTTTTGACACTTACTCGAAAGAAGGCTGCAGTCGACCCGCCTCTAAGAGCTCCGTATTTGATTTTAGTTTGTTTTGCGAGATCTTCGGCGGTCTCTATGGGCGAATCCATTCTTTCCACGGTCAGGAACGCCGCCAAATTCGCCGTGTACGAAGATATCATTATGAGCGTGAAAAACCACCACATTCCTGCAACCATTCTCGTGGAAACTGCCCTGCAAAGGAAACAAAGATTATCGAAAGTTCAGAGTTAGCTGGAAAATTGAGCATCAGTACTAGATGGTGATGTACCAAATTGTAAAATTTAAAAAAATTAAATCCACTTATACAGAGTGATTCAAAATTGAGTGCAAAGATTTTAAGGGCGTATGTACCAGCCAAAAATAAGAATTTTTTTTCATATAATTATATGTCCTAACTTGCTTCGTTTTCTAGATACAGGGTGTCAAAGTTTTAAAACAAAAATCGGTTTTTTATCAATTACTCAAAAACCTTTCAGCCGACTTAAATAAAATTTAGTACGCTTATTTGTCGTCATAAGAGCCTTCCTCTGGTGAGTATATAATAAATTTAATAATTCCAGTGGCGTCTCAGGGGGCTACCTACTTGATACTTATAGGTAAAATTATGATACGAAACTGCTTTTTTGACAGTTAACATTTTTTTTAGATTAGGCGATCAATAATGTAACTTTCTTGCTTCTTGAGCTTTACTCGTATCTAGCTTTGTTTCCAAGAAAAAAAAATCAAAATCTGTGCCTGACCCTATTAAAACAAGTAAAAAACTAATTACTAAATGATGGAGATTGTCTGACTAAATTTTTATTTGTGTTATGAAATTTCATTTATTATTTATTCCAGTCGCGTCTAAAAGTGTGATTTTATATAATTAATAATTGTTAAAAAAACCGATTTTTTTTATCTACAAAACGAAGCAAGTTATGACATACAATGATATGAAATTTTTTTCTTATTTTTGACTGGTAAATACGCCCTTAAAATATTTGCAGTAAATTTTGAATCACCCTGTATTTAATTGTTTTGGTAGTAAGATGTAAGGCTGCAAATTCAATATTTCTTGTGATGTATTTTTTTGTCGCTTCCTCAGATTTACAACACTTTTGTATTAATTTCGCAATACAAAATTGGCTATAGACAATTATCAACTATTTGTGGTAATCTTGGAAGGTTGCAAATTTGCATTTACTGATAGGAAAACTTTAAAATATTTCTGTAAAATTTGAAAATTTTTTAAAAAATTTGCAACTGCAAAAATCTGAATTGTTGATTTTAGTTAATTTTTCAAGTTTGCGTACCTTGTCCGAGTTTGCCAATTTACCAGGTTGTTAAGAAAAATAATATTAACATTTTCAACCAATTTTTAAAATTTTTGCACTTTTTTTGACAAAATTAAAGACAAATTAACGTTTGTTTTTCCATTTCTTAACAAAAACATATTGGCGTGTGAAATAGAAGGTTGCTGTTTCAAAAATGTGTATGAGTTATGTCACCGGTTTGCAGCACTTTTGCAATTTTTTTTCAGCTACGATATTAAAAAAACGTTATTTTTTACTGAAAAAAAAAAAAAAAAAAAAAAATTAAGAAAAGTTGAAAGGAATTAGGAAGAGATTATGGATACCTTGAGGATATTTATAAAAAAAAAAAAATTAAAATATCTGTACAAAAAAAATTATTTACATAATTTAGGAAAACAAGCGCGATTTTAAGCACAAAATGAGGGACATACATACTCGTATAATGCGAAGAGCTTATTAAAATATAATTCTTTTTTACACTTTAATAAATTTGCTTCAACAAGAAATTTCAAAATTATAATTTACATTTAGTTTTAGTTTTAGTAATTTCTATTTTATATATTGAGAAACAAATTGTTTAAATAATGATCTAACGATATGTCAAAATTTAAATAATTTTTTTTTGATATTTAGAATATTTTCTGTACTCAGATACAAAAATGAAATATAAATAAGTAACGGTGTGGATTTGTTTGAAGCCAGTATCTACCCTTGTTTTCATTACTTACTTCCTCTATTCTGGGTACTTGATGTGATTCGTTTATTTTAAATAGCAGCGCCAAATTTAGTCACACTTGTCAACAAGAACTTGGGAATTGTCAGTTTTGTTTGTACATTTTGGGTGATTTTATATTTCCAGGGCATATTTTTAAAGTTTTTAGAGTTTTTAGAATTTTTAGAATTTTTAGAATTTTTAGAATTTTTAGAATTTTTAGAATTTTTAGAATTTTTAGAATTTTTAGAATTTTTAGAATTTTTAGAATTTTTAGAATTTTTAGAATTTTTAGAATTTTTAGAATTTTTAGAATTTTTAGAATTTTTAGAATTTTTAGAATTTTTAGAATTTTTAGAATTTTTAGAATTTTTAGAATTTTTAGAATTTTTAGAATTTTTAGAATTTTTAGAATTTTTAGAATTTTTAGAATTTTTAGAATTTTTAGAATTTTTAGAATTTTTAGAATTTTTAGAATTTTTAGAATTTTTAGAATTTTTAGAATTTTTAGAATTTTTAGAATTTTTAGAATTTTTAGAATTTTTAGAATTTTTAGAATTTTTAGAATTTTTAGAATTTTTAGAATTTTTAGAATTTTTAGAATTTTTAGAATTTTTAGAATTTTTAGAATTTTTAGAATTTTTAGAATTTTTAGAATTTTTAGAATTTTTAGAATTTTTAGAATTTTTAGAATTTTTAGAATTTTTAGAATTTTTAGAATTTTTAGAATTTTTAGAATTTTTAGAATTTTTAGAATTTTTAGAATTTTTAGAATTTTTAGAATTTTTAGAATTTTTAGAATTTTTAGAATTTTTAGAATTTTTAGAATTTTTAGAATTTTTAGAATTTTTAGAATTTTTAGAATTTTTAGAATTTTTAGAATTTTTAGAATTTTTAGAATTTTTAGAATTTTTAGAATTTTTAGAATTTTTAGAATTTTTAGAATTTTTAGAATTTTTAGAATTTTTAGAATTTTTAGAATTTTTAGAATTTTTAGAATTTTTAGAATTTTTAGAATTTTTAGAATTTTTAGAATTTTTAGAATTTTTAGAATTTTTAGAATTTTTAGAATTTTTAGAATTTTTAGAATTTTTAGAATTTTTAGAATTTTTAGAATTTTTAGAATTTTTAGAATTTTTAGAATTTTTAGAATTTTTAGAATTTTTAGAATTTTTAGAATTTTTAGAATTTTTAGAATTTTTAGAATTTTTAGAATTTTTAGAATTTTTAGAATTTTTAGAATTTTTAGAATTTTTAGAATTTTTAGAATTTTTAGAATTTTTAGAATTTTTAGAATTTTTAGAATTTTTAGAATTTTTAGAATTTTTAGAATTTTTAGAATTTTTAGAATTTTTAGAATTTTTAGAATTTTTAGAATTTTTAGAATTTTTAGAATTTTTAGAATTTTTAGAATTTTTAGAATTTTTAGAATTTTTAGAATTTTTAGAATTTTTAGAATTTTTAGAATTTTTAGAATTTTTAGAATTTTTAGAATTTTTAGAATTTTTAGAATTTTTAGAATTTTTAGAATTTTTAGAATTTTTAGAATTTTTAGAATTTTTAGAATTTTTAGAATTTTTAGAATTTTTAGAATTTTTAGAATTTTTAGAATTTTTAGAATTTTTAGAATTTTTAGAATTTTTAGAATTTTTAGAATTTTTAGAATTTTTAGAATTTTTAGAATTTTTAGAATTTTTAGAATTTTTAGAATTTTTAGAATTTTTAGAATTTTTAGAATTTTTAGAATTTTTAGAATTTTTAGAATTTTTAGAATTTTTAGAATTTTTAGAATTTTTAGAATTTTTAGAATTTTTAGAATTTTTAGAATTTTTAGAATTTTTAGAATTTTTAGAATTTTTAGAATTTTTAGAGTTTTTAGAGTTTTTAGAGTTTTTAGAGTTTTTAGAGTTTTTAGAGTTTTTAGAGTTTTTAGAGTTTTTAGAGTTTTTAGAGTTTTTAGAGTTTTTAGAGTTTTTAGAGTTTTTAGAGTTTTTAGAGTTTTTAGAGTTTTTAGAGTTCAAAGGTAAGTAAATAAAAAACAGAGACGGTACAAATATATTGTAAAATATTATTGATAATGTTTTCAACAAATCTTAAAGCAATGGAAATTTTGATTCAAAATCTAGAATTAGGAACGGTTGATTTGATAAAATTAACAAAGCACTAAAATATATTGGAAACATTTTATAAATTATGATTTTGTTATAAATTCAGTCGGAAAAGACCTATCTAAAATTGGAAGCCATTTCTATTTTATTCAATTCTCAACTTGGTCAGCCTTCAAGTAAGTTATACAAGTAAATTTACATCCTACTGAATGTAGTGAAGAGACTAGAAGACATTTGTGATTTGCACATGTTGGATCAGAAAATTAAAGTTGTTTCATCGACATTGCTTCAGAAGCTATAGAATAAGTTATTCAATTTATAAAGAAGAAATCTATAAAAGTGCCTAAATTCAGAGAAAAATTTATGTTAAAAATATTAAGTAAATTTAAAAATACCCGTTTTTAAAAATAGTTTTGGCACATATTATTTTAGAGATTATTACAGGATCTAAAAATCCAAAAACTTTAAAAATATGTTGAAAGTTTATTAATGAACAGATTGTTAATCTGGAATAAAGGCATATTAATTTAGTGAAGTAGAAGAAGGTTGTAATCCAAAATATTAGTCAATATTCGTTTCTACATATTTAAGAAATTTTCATAAGCGAAAATGCATCAGAAGCAGTTGGGGTACCTATGTAACTAGCATTAAAATAACATTAATTAAATTTGGTGCCATACATGCTGTCATAAATATATGTAACCTATGTACAACTTCGGTTCCTATATGGAATTTCCATATATTTCTTTGAAAATAGATACGCCAATTTTATCGGTTTTTTACTTATAATTACTTTTGATACTTTTAAGTTATATTTTTTATTATTTAATTCTTGTATTGTGTTTTTAAATTGCGTTAATTGTATGCTTATACATTTTTAGATAAAGCTTTAAGTCTAATATAAAAAACACACAAGTTCTACCTAGACAAATTTATGTGTCGTATAGAGGAGGTTGTTCAGACATGAACTGGCTAGATACTAACTATCGTCAAATTTCAGGAATTACCAATATTTACTTTCTTGAAAAACAAAGGCATGATGCGGATTTACTATTGGTACATAAGTTGTTAAACGGTTTAATAAATTGTCAGGAACTGCTTGCTTTATTTAACTTTTATCAAGAACTAGGAATTGACCATTATTGTATGAAAATGGACATTTAACAAATTATGGTCGTCATTATCCAATTACATGCGTTTTTCATTAATTGAATAGCCTGTCGTGTTCCAATGATATATTTTTCAATACATTTAGAAAGTTTAAAGGAATATTACAAACTTAGAAGAAAGGTATTATATTTGTGTACTATTTTTTAAATTATTTCTCTACCCAAATTACTTAAAGTTAGTACCGTAATTTGATTATTTTGTATACAATGGATTTACCGTCAATATAGTTTTTTTATTTACCTTATTTATTATAGCATGGTGTAGTAATGTAAAATATTTTTTTGATTATTAATCAAATATTAATAAGTACACTGCCTGCCAAAATTATTAGATCACCTAAAAAATTCAAAACAAAATTTCTATAGCTAAATTTTTGCAGGTGAATCCACTTTTTTTATTAATGTGTAAACATATTTTTTATCTTAACTTTATTTCGAGTTCCATAACGCAGTTTGTTTATGTGTAATAAAAAATTATCAGTTTGGATACTTTTCAGGTCAGTGTAAATTTTAACTTAAATGGTTAAACATTGATTTTGTTTTCATTATTTTTTCTTCGATTTTGAAACTGAATGTGCATGCTTGGGTTAGACACTCATTATCGCTAGAAAATTGTGTTAGGGCGGTAACATTATTGGAGGAAGGTCGTAGTCAGCGATATATCACAGAAAGGCTTGGTGTGACCCAATCTGCAGTTTCGTATGTTTTAACAAGATATAGAAAAATGGGGATCATCAAAGAAGACCAGGTCAGGGTCGTAGACGCTTCACCAATGCCATCCAGGATCGCTATAGGGTCCAACAAATCCTTCGAAACCGTACATTAACAACTCCTGAGCTGCAAAATGTGGTTAGAAGGACCTATTGAATACAAGTAAGCTAAATACCATAAGAAGACGCTTAAGGGAACAGAATCTAACCCCACGGATCCCAGCTAGAGGACCGCACTTGACCGCAGGGCATCGGAGGAACCGACTTCAATTTGCGAGAATGCACGTTAATTGGGAACCGGCTGATTGGAATCGAGTTTTGTTTTCTGACGAGACAAGATTTTCCCTGTACCATTCAGATAGACGAGTAGGAGTTTACCGACGACCTGGAGAATGGTACCCACAGTGCAACTTCGTTGAAAACATTCGTCATGGTGGTGGCAATCTTATGTTTTGGGGAGGCATCTCTTTAGGAGGACGTACGAAGCTAGTGGCGCTTCAGGAGGGCAATGTTAATACTGTCCGGTACATCGCCGACATTCTTGAACCTCACGTGGTGCCATATGCTGAAAACTTTGGTGCCGATTTCATTTTAATGCAAGACAATGCACGGCCGCACACAGCTCGGGTGACACAAAATTTTCTTCGTGGTGAAAATATTGAGACTATGAATTGGCCAGCTAATAGTCCTGACTTAAACCCCATCGAGCATCTATGGGACATTATGGGTAGGTGCTTTAGAGCACTTCCGTATCCTCCGGCCGACCTTGACTGGCTCACTGTTGCAATTTCTGAGATTTGGAACGACATCGATCAAGCCGACATAAGGACGCTTATTTAAAGCATAAGGGAACGGTGTGAAGCTGTCATACAAGCGAGGGGTGGAAAGACTCGATATTGACTTTTTTTCATAGGTGTACTAAAATTTATTTTTTGGGATATTTGCTAATTTTTAAAAGGAGGTTTATTTTGTTATTTTGTTGCAATATAAGGGCGTATAATATGATAATTGGAGTTTTGTTATGTTTCTTACTCAAAACCAACCATATAATAAATCTTATTTCAAATTTTACTCGAAATTATTGGGTGATCTAATAATTTTGGCAGGCAGTTATATTGGGTATCTCAGCTTGATTACAGTAAGATACTGATCGTACAAATTAATGACTGGTTTTTTGCAAATTAAACAACAAATTTAATTATCACGTACAGTCGCCGCAATCTAATTTATCTGAAGTGGGGATGCACTGTAGTAAATTTTCGTCGCCTACTATAGCAGTACAGGGTGTCCCAAAAGTTACTAGGTGATTAAAAAATATAATAACTTCTGACTTGTAAGGCTTTTAAATATTTTGTTTCTGGTTTTGGAAACTAGAAGCTTGGAAGATTTGTTCTGGAAAAAGTAGCTATTGTGGAACTCTATTTTGAAAACCATCAATTAATTATAGAAACTTACGGAGCGTTACAGAAATTCAAAGAGCATTTCACAGACTTTTCAATGCTAGAAATTCTCTATCGAAAATGACTAAACGAAATAATTACACGTTTTCGAATGCGTATAGTCATTTAGCAAGGGAGAATTTTATGCATTGAAAAGTCTGCAAAACGCTCTTTGAGTTTCTGTAATTGATCGATGGTGTTCAAAATAGTTCCACAATAGCGACTCTTTGGGCAATGGAGAGTTTCTCCATAACAAATTATTTCCCAAGCTTCTAGATTCCAAATCTGAAACAAAAGTTTTCAAAAGACTTTTGGGACACCCTGTATAAGATAGACAAATTTTACCCCACCCCTACAAATTACGATGCACATATAATAAAATAATTATTATTGTGTATCTACCTATAAACAATATTAACAGTGTAATCATTTGAAACCAATTTTTTTTTGTAAATATTACATTTGGATAAAAAACTGTAAAATTCATTTTTGTCTGAATTGCATTTTTCTTTAAAAATATTTACAAAACAATCCATTAGATTCTGATGAAAAAACTATTTGATACGCCCAACTGGCAAACGCTCGTATATAATGTCTTCAAACAAAGCCCGTTACTTATCCATATTTCATTTGTTTATCTGAGCTGCTGTGCGATTTTCTCCTAAACTCACTTACTTTGGAGCAATGTCGGAGCCTTGCTGCATCAGCGTACCGACGGTGAACCACAAGGAGTTCAACAGAGTGAACTGATTCTCAAGTACGACCGGAACACTGTCGCATGGGTGCGGGTTGTCCCACTCGTAGGGGCTGAACCTGCAACCACAGAACAGTCCCTGTAAAGCTTAATCTAATGTGCTCTTACTTGGGCAAAAAGTCGCATCCTTGTTGCATTAAGGAGCCGATAGCGAACCACATGCAGTTGAACAAAGTGAACTGGTTCTCCAGGTGGTCCGGATCCGGGTTGCATGGATGCGGGTTCTGCCATTCGTATGGTGTAAATCTAATAAAATTACATAGGAGAAGAAATTAGTTGTATAATTAGGGTGAAATAATTTGGTGGAATTAACAAACAAAATTTACCATTTTAACGATGTTACATCATAAAAGCTCTAATGCTTGTTTAACCCATTAGTGCCTAGATTATTTTTTTTTTCGATTTTTTCGGTAATTTTAGTATTTTTTGTTTAAATTATGGTCAGAATTTAATAAAAAAATAGAATTTTTATTTGTAGATTTGTAGACCCTTCAGGTTAAGGTGTTACATATATGTAACGCTAGGAACTATAAGGAGCAAAAATACGTATATTCAAAACTTAGGGGTTTTATTAAAAATCATATAAAAAAGAGAAACTAGGGGTTTTACATTTCGTTTAAACGTTTTTTTGTGTGGTAGGAAACAAAACAATCAATGCACTACTACTACTACTACTTATTGTGAAGTAAAATTATTTATTACTTAGTGGTGCTTTATAAATTCAGCATTTAAATCTTCGATGGATAATTTACTTCATCCCTATAGTCAAATTATCTAAGAAAAAATTTTTTTTTTTTAATTAAATATGAACATTTTCAAATAAATCAATATATTTTTTATTTGGGTAAATTTTGAATGTTTAGAAACAAACCCAACATTTTACATTTTCAAACAATACCCATATTCCATTATAGATTTCAAGATTGCAAACTTGTTTGATTGCTTTTAGTTAATCTAAAAAGAAATTCATAATTAAGGTTTTACCGTATTAAGGTTTAATTGTTATTGAACCGTTTCTCTCTTCTGGACTATTGATTATAAAATGTCATACAGAAAGGAACAATCACCTTGAAGGGTGGAAAATGTAGATAGGACTGGAAATGCAACCCATATAGTTTTTTATTTATATCTCGAAAACGAAGGAAAATTCTAGTATAGTTATTAGGATTTTTTTGTAGAGACTGTGATATCTCATCGAAATAATTTATTTAAAAAATAAAAAATCATGTAAAAAATATGAAAGATTTTAAAAAATGCAAAAATTTCAATTTTGTGTTTTTTACTCTTTTTTGTGCGTTTCCTAAGCCAAAATAAATAAAGACATTATTTCATGAAAAAAAAGTACATTACATTTCTTTCAAAATGGTGGGTTAAAATAGTTTTTTACAGGAATTGCACACAAGATAATCATGGTATTAATAGTAGCAGTTGAGACATGGTTACAAGAGGGAGTAGCAGACGGTCAATTAGTTGACATAAATATTGTCTGAGAATAACTGCAGTTAACGATCAGTGAGCTCCTGCAAAAATTGGGAAAAACAAATGGCTGAAAAAAAATCTTACGATTACAAGTGAGTTTATTTACAAAGTTAACTATCCCGTTTTGAAAAATGAAAAACATCGACCTACTTGGCATAAAGTATCAAATTTCTTTTCAGTAGTTGTCATATTTAGCTCAGTGGGACTCTGTTTTCCTGAAAAAAACGCTTATCAAAGCGAGTACTCGAAAATGATGATGGTTCTGAAAAAAGAAGCTAATTGGTCCTTACAAAGACTAGACTAGCCGAAGTACTTCGTTTGTTACACGACTGTCTATCAGGAGGACATCTCCCTGTTAAGAAAACTCTTCATAGAGTATGTGAAAGGTTCTATTGGATGAAAAGTTTCGATAATGTCAGAAACATGCCACCTGAGCTGTGAGTAATGAACCTTAACGGAAAAAGAAGTTTTCCATGAAACAATGCAACATCGGTAGCTCATTTAAGAGAATTGCCCTAGATATTTCTGTACCATTCCCAATAACTGAGAATGGTAATAAATACATGATGGAGGTTATGGAATATTTTACAAATTAAGTGTAAGTCTACGCAATTTCAAATCAAGAGGTCGCAACTGTTGCAGGCGTGTTGATAAAAGAGTTTATCAGTCGTGTTGGAGTGCCTTTAGAGATCCACAGTGACCAAGGCAAAAATTTTAAAAGACAGCTTTTCGGAGTAAACTGTGACAGACTAGGCATGACGAAAATCAGAACTACAGCGTTGCACCCACAGTCGGATGGAATGGTAGAGCGAATGAATAAGATCACTGGCAAGTACCTGTCAAAAGTTATTCCAACCATCAGCGATATCGGATCAGTAACTTTCGCTCTTTGCTATGGCCTATAGATTTGCTGTGAATTAATCAACAGGTCGAACACCAGCAGGCGAGAGATGTGATTACCGTTTGACCCTGAGTTCCGATTCCGACCTAAAGAAAACATAGTCGGTGAAAATTATTTGATCCAGCTACGAAGAAAAATGGACGATATGTTTGAGTTCACTCACATCTTAAAATCGCTACATAGGACAAAGGAACAGTACGATACACAAGCCAGAAGAGGATGTTTCAATAAAGGCTACAAAATCTGGCTCCATAACCCACAAAGGGTTATACTCCGAAGCTTTAAAGGTCTTGGGAAGGTCCGTACCTCATCAAGAAAAAAATGTTATTTACCGTATAAGTACCGGTTGGCATTATTTGAGGACAACCATGACAAAGAAGAAGGAAAAGAAGAAGTAAACCAAGTCTAAGATATACCTGACCTTGTCTTTGAAGAATTTGGATCGCCGAATTTTGTTCGAATCTTTTTGTTCGAAAACATTTTGTTCGAAAGTTATTTAGTTCGAACACATTTTGTTTCGAAAGTTATTTAGTGCGAACACATTTTGTTCGAAAGTAAATTACCACTAAAACGTTTCGTTCAAAAACTTTTCTTCGGTTTCTTTTTAATCGTAATCATTTTGTTCGAATATCTAATTGTTTCAAAAAATGCAATGCAATTTGAAAAACATATGATTTGAAACATTTCATAATCTCAAATGGTTGAATCTAAATGTATAATATATTAATGAAAATAAAAACATTATACCAAAAGCCCTATTTTCCTATAAATTTGACTTATAGAATTAAAAAAATAGACACGTACCTTAATATGTATAAATAATTAATAAAAATTAGCAAGCACTTTCGGCTTTACAAAGCCATGTTCAAAATTCACTACATTTTTCCAGGAAGGATATTTTTTCAAATAAGATATTAGAGCAAAATGTGTTCGAACTAAATAACTTTCGAACAAAAAGTTTTCTAACTAAATAACTTTCGAACAAAATGTTTTCAAACTAAATAACTTTCGAACTAAATAACTTTCGAACAAAATGTTTTCGAATAAAATTACTCGCTGGTCCATAGCACTTTCACCAGCATCAACGACGCTGGAGGTCAGGCATCGGTGTTCCGGGAAAAGTTTGGTCGATTACCGGTCAGTTACCGGCTCCTGGAAAAGCCTTGAAACTTCAAGATGGCTTGCGTTACCTTTTCTATCGAAAGAACACCTTCCGAGATCTATCTACTAATCAAGACGTATAGGAAGATTACTTAGTTTAAGGGAGCACGTACTGGAGTGCAATGTACATAAACTAGCTATGATGAAGATAGAGTACAACCAGCTGAATTGGAGGATCATTAGAAACATGGTGTAAGAAATTTCTAAGATACCGAGGTTCAAATACTGGTCAGTAGCCATTCACCCGGTGTTCAGGTTACTTTCATGCGAATGGAAATTGTAGAAGTGGGTTCAGTTGCAGATACAACAGGTTTCAGTTCCAGGATCAACTATCTTTTAAGGATTGGAAGTGTTGCCAGAGCTCATCTAGTACATTTGAGAAATACCTAGAATTCTTCGAGAACAGTGCGGTGCGCAGCATTTTTATATAAATATGTTGTATGCTGCCGGAGAAGTTAAATCTATAGACAGAAGTTGAAGATAGACATTGGAATTGTTGGATAAATTAAATCATATGTGTGAAATTTAAATCAGCTAGGTATTTAAGTATAAATAAATTAAATAGTGTATGAAAATAAATTATAAATAATAAACTGTTTTAAATAAATAAATGTTAAGCTATCTACAAATTTGTGGGTTTTAAATGTCATTCGAAGGTGGTTGAACGTAGGGGTAAAATTTTCAAGTTGCAGGATGTCATTTTATAATCTAAAATTGACGTGTTTTGGGATATTTTTATAAAAATACACAGTAATTGGGCTACTGAATTTATTCCATTTAACTGTTACACACTGTGATATTGAGAAGCGTTATGTTAATTAATTTTCAGCATTAAAATTTCACATCGTCTATTGTCAT